TTTGGTCTACAGCTTACAAATGGTTTGATTAAATCAAATTTGGTTTGTTTGAAATCGACACAGTTCAAAATTTTAAAAATGAAAAGAACAAATCATATATATATATTAGATAGAAACAAAAAATCTACTTTTAAATATTAAATTAATGTTCACAAACAAACTAGAGTTTGTTTGATTAACAAATGGTTTAAGTTAATGGCTCGGCTCGATTAATAAACGAACGTTGAACGAGTTTTATTTGTGTTTTGATTAATAGACCAACTACCTTTCTTCATACAACTGTTAAGCTCCAGGTGATCAAGCTGATTGAGAATTTTTACCAAAAACACCACAAAAGAGCTGGTTGAGGTAATTAAATTATGAACTCCACTAATAATCAGTTCAACCAAACATGAAACACCCCCCTAGATGAAGGGTGACAAAGGTACATTGGTACATAAAGGTACAAGATACCATCAAAATTTCTGTCTTCTTTATCATAAGTCTCCACAACTCGAATCAACGTTTTACCCTTTCTTAGCCAAATTTCCATCAGACATTGATTTCCATGTTATCGATGAGCCTAACATTTCCAAACCAGGCAGCCACACAAAACACAGCCGGTCTATTGATCTCTTTCACGACTTCCAAACTCTGCTGGTCTACAATCTGCTTGGCATCAAGATATGGAAAAACATGAAAGACTCAATCTTTATAGTCACCCAAATACTTAATCTGTCGTTATTAGCAAACACAACAAATTATGAATGAACAGTAAAACTCACGAAGAAAACAAGAAATCAGATAGTACATATTCTCCCTTCATATGGGACAGCTCGATAATATATATATATATTTTTTTCCAGAGTAATTATTATGTGAACCTCACCTCTGCATAATCAACCTTTCCACCAGCTTCCTGAATGGCGCGAACAACTGAATCTCTCAGCTCTTTGCAATCTACCTGGTTTTGTTCTGCTGCGAATTTAGCGCTCGATAGTGATTTACTAATTGACAATGCCTGCAGAAAAGAGAATACAAAAATTTGATTTAAGGTGACCTAATCAAACTGAATAAAAAGAAGAAAATTTGTGAAACTTCTTTATTGTTTAAGGTACTAGAATATGCAAAAACTAGAAGAGCACGCTTGCACTCGATTTTCTAAAGAAGACATCTGGGGTTTTTCAGCAGGGAAAAGCTACCTTTTCCCTTTCATAGGCCGTTAGTCGCACATTACGTGAACTCTTGGCAAGCCCATCTTCATCCCGTACCAAATCAGAACCAATCACTTTTATGCCAAAATCCAGATCTCGGACCTGAAACATAAACATTTAGAAAAAAACAAAACAGAAAAACCGAAGCACGTCACAGGCACAAGACCAGTAATTTCGACAATGATTCTCAAATTGTGGATAGATCGGCTCAAATTGTATAGAGAGCAACATTCAAAAGAATATATCATTTGCTTAACCAATCTAGTCGAATACGAGTGTTTGCAAACACACAATTTATTGGAGCATAAGTGGGTAAAAACCAAGAATGAGACATTTCCAGTGTCTACACACAAAAGCTGGAAGGTGAATAGGCTAATAACTTGTTTTTGGCACACATGTTCTGGAAGTTCTCCATTGATGCATGAAATTCAAACCCCATATAGTCTCCTTTCTTGCCGTGTTTTTTACTAAAAGGCGGCACTCATATGTTAGACACAATCAGAAAAACACAAGCAAAGTTCCAAACTTTACACACAAAACCCATCATATTCACAGCATACTATTCAAGTCCTCAATGCATAAGAAAATAAAACAAAAATTTTCTCACCATCCTCTGTATAATCCTCCATTGCTGGTAATCCTTCTTCCCAAACACCGCAACATCCGGCTCGACGATATTAAACAGCTTCGCAACAACAGTCGCCACACCCCTAAAGAAAACGGGCCGGCTTTTCCCGCACAAACCAGCCTCCAATTTCTCGACCCTGACCCACGTCTCGTGACCCGCCCCACTATTCTCCACACACGACACCGTTTCGCCGTCTCCCCGCGTGCCATCCCCAATGCCACCGTCCTCCCCGTAATCGTACAGATTCTTCGGGTGGAAAACGACGTCGACGCCGCCGACGTCCTTCAGCTTCTGAATGTCGCCGAGAAAATCGGACGGGTAGGTCGAAAGATCCTCGTTGGGGGAGAACTGGCCGGGATTCACGTAGATTGAGACCACTGTGTGATGTGCGTGTTTTTGGGATTCGTGAATGAGGGATAAGTGGCCGTCGTGGAGGTATCCCATGGTGGGGACTAAGCCGATGGTTCCGCCATTGGCTCTGGCGGATCTCGACCACCGTCGCATCTCATCTTTGCCGGTGATGATCAAGGGTTCATTGTTTGCCATTGTTGGAAATTTTTTAGCTTGGTTACGGATTATTGGAGACAAGCAGAGGGTTTTATTAGGATCAATGGAGCTTCGTTCTGTGAGAAATTGGGAGGATTTTGACCTGGGAAAGGTGGGATATGGCCTGTTGGGAAGCATAAATAAATAGTTATCAATAATTGGGAAAGTTGGGATATGCCTCGAATATAAAAAACGTCTTTTTACATCTACATTAAAATGCATCACGTCAGTTGATCCTACTCAAAGCCATACATTCCAATTTTTTTCGAACTTACATACATTTCGAACACCCTTTTCCAGTTGCATTTTCCTCGAACTTCTAATATTGCAAAAACAAACACATAGTTAACCCACATTCTTCACGAAAAAACATACACAAGATCATCTGAACCCTCACATTTCGAACTTACATAAGTTTCGGACACATTCTAGGCTTCCCTAGTCAAAATCCCAAAGATTAAACCCTTTTGTCAACAACACGTGATGGGGCCTTACCGTTTAGGCATCACTCCACAAACATTTCCCCACACTGAACCAATAGATAAAACCCGAACGAATGCTGAAAACGTTGAATCTCCCTTTAATTAGAGCCAAGCATAAAGATCACACCTTTCCAGGTCCGAAAACTTCCAGCAACAATGTACCTAGAGAAATTAGCCACTTGAGAAATCGTTTTGCCGTGCTTCAATGTAGAGGAATCGCAGAGTATATCGAGGAAGTAGTCGAGCAGCTCTTGACTTCCCACTTAAAACTCATTTTCGGTGACTCTTCTTGAAAAGCAACACCTGGTACAGTTAACTCAACTTAAGCTCAAGTAAATCTTTTTTAAGGGGTGTTTGTTAATTTTGGAAGAAAGTCAGGTTCTTTATATAATTAGAATAAAGCAAACGGCCTTTCCATAATTGACCTTTCTGCCAATGTATTTCCCTCCTTTGTTGGCTGCGGCCCACTTCAGCAGCTCTTTCATCCTGGAAATGGCTTTTGTCTTGTCTCCTTTCGCCTTTTCCTTGTCCACATTATGACAGAGTTCATCGTTTTCTGAAGGCTGAGATGAATGTGTGATAGGTAAGACTTTATTTCCTACATTGTTAGAATCCGACTTTTGGGCAATGCCTAGTCCTTGAGCAATATCTCCTTTCATCGTCTTCACTGAATTTTCAGAAAGTGGCTTTTTGTAGGAACTTTCAAGTGTCTTTAGGTTGAGCGTGTGGTGGAAGTAGTCTTCGGTGACGTTCTTTTTCTGTATGAGCTTGAAAATATGTAAATTTTTCATGTTAACATGATCATGCATTGACTGATTTGACATATATTAAAATAAAAAAGTTGCAAGGGATCACTCAACTGCATGTTAGGATCAACTTGTNTATCTTTGTTACAATGAAGCAAAAATATGTGAAGACAATTTGTTTTGGTCAAATGGACAGAGCACATGAAATCTATTTGTTGTCTGACTGTATATAGATTCGTTCATTTTGAATATTTTCCTTGCAGTCCCATGAAAGTGTTTTTTCTTACAAGGTGGTGACGAGGCCTGTAAAAAATCATGTTCGTTTAAACATACTGATCTTGTTTGATAATTAGAGTTTTGAGGTCAACTAAGGTTTGACTCGTCAGAACCTTTAATTTAATCAGAAGCATTACCACTAATTTAATTGTGTGGTGACTGGTGAGTAGCAGTTTGAAATAACTTTTTAAAATTAATGGTTGTAAAATTAATTGTTTTCATATAGCAAACAACTAATTATTTACTAAATTGATAATTCAATTAGTTATTCCTCACCAGCAAAATCAATTGAGGTAGAGCCATTTTGTTTGTTCCAAGATTTGTCCTATTCTCATTTATTTTATTGAGGAAATTACATCTTCCACTACTCATTAAAATTTTTATTACATATTTACAATTCATATTTTTATTTGCAAATTAACTAAAACTATCATATTTATTTGCAATCATACTAGATTATTGAGTATCGGATAATTTCTTTTAAACATGGTAAAAACAGATTTAATGTGATCTTAAAGCTTCCTCTCTCTTTCTCTCTCATTTTCTTCTTCTTCAATTTGCGGTTGTTCTCCTCCCCCTACCGCTCCTTCGCCAATCCGCCTCTGCCCATCCAGCCATCCCCGCCGCTGACCGCCTTATCTCCATCAGTTGGAGATACGTTTATCTACTTGCGATTTGACGGTTGACGGGTCAATTTCATTAACCTATCCATTTTTGTTGTCCATTATAATTTTGTTACATTTCCTGTAGTTTTTACTCTTGCAATTGTTCTTCACAATTCCATTTTTGTTCGTAGCAACAATTGATTTGAGGTATTACAGCAAAATTGATTATCTAAATGAAGAAACCTCAAAATTGATTTGAGGTATTACAGCAAAATTGATTATCTACATGAAGAAACCTTCTCCAAGGTATCTATCTTAATCTGTGGGTATACTGATGTGAATTTTAGTATAGATAATAATTACAGTTTTCAGTTTTTCGGTTTCTGAATTAGTTTGGTGTGTCTTCTTCTNTGGGTTGCTGTTTCTTTTGGTTGAAGGGGATGAGAACGGTGATATGATTTCGGTTATTTATGAGCTTCCATCAGCCGCCCCCAGATGCCCCAGTGCCGTGACCGTCGGTTTTCAATATATCTACGTGATAAGCACATATATATTGAGTATATGTACAATATATCCATAGTAAATGTACAATATATGTAAATCTTAGTTATGTACTGTTATTGTCTTAGGTATGTACAATTAAGTTGTGAATGAATGTTTGTTTTTTCTGATTTCAATGTTTTTATTCATAGTTTCCGTTGTGTATATTAGAATTTTTTTTTGTTGGAAAACGAATTTGACAAAGTATAAATTGATTTTTTTGTATATGTATGGTTTATGTTCAGTATATTTTCGGTATATGATAAAGAAATTTATCGCGAGACATAATTTTTATGTATAAAATCCATTTATATTTACCATAAACTGAATTTTTTTGTTGTTGTGTATATGTATGGTTTTATATTAAGTAATTTGGTATAATATATTTTTAAACTATATCTATACTTTTATGTATAAAAAAAAAGAAAAAATAAATAAAGAGGAAGATATAATTTTTTGGAAGACATTTTTTTCATTGCAACATATACTGAATATATACTAACATAAACGCAATATATACCACCTGACAACTGCGTGAATTAAAAAATTCTAGTTGCTCACATATACTGAATATATACTAACATAACCGCAATATATACCACCTGACAGCTGCGTGAATTAAATAATTCCAGTTGCGCGAATTAAATAATTCCAGTTGCGCGAATTAAGGAATTAAATGAGTAAGTTATTTATTTTCATTTCTCTCTCTTATGAGTCAACGTTTTTTTATGGTAACTGAAATCAAGTAAATCTCCAATTAATTCAATAGTTTTAGGTACATATGCAATTAAACTCATAGTAGCTGCAAAATCACAAATAAATCTAAATCTTATAGGATAGATGAAAATTTCCCTATTTTATTTACCCCTTTTAGTCCATTTGGCCACAATTCTTGATAGGATGGGCTGAAATGTAAGCACTTTCGTTTGGGGTCAGTTGAAATTGGTAGTGATTAAGAATGAGCCTGCGACTTGTATGGACAAAGACAAACAGTCTTAAGTAATGATTCTATATCTTGATTAGTTGAACTCTAGTCTAGTGTCAGAATATGATAAAAAGTAGCCATAAAGTGTCAACTCGGGGCTTAGGAGTTGGGAAGAATTCAGTTTTTATGCAATATTTTTATTTATTTATTTCTGGTATCCATAACGAGATTCGCATGTGATGTTTCCCATCACTTTCAACATGATAGTTCAACCTGGGCTAGGATAAAACGACACATGAAAGCGGAGGAGTAAATCGAATCTTAATAGGACTATATTGTTTAGTCTTGGAAAAGTGCAATTTTTTAAAAACATGACAGTTTTGTGTTTGCAAATAACTCAAATAGAATTTTAAGTTTATTAAACAAAGCCAAGACAAGCCAAGCCGAACCTTCACAAGCTTAAAGAAGCCAATGCCTAGCTGGGGCTTTTGTTCGTTTATTAAACCAGTAACTCAGCTCTATTGTTAAGCGAAAAACGAGCTAAAACATGAGTTACTCAGCTTGAATAACAACCCTAATTATCGCTCTTAAATATACAAGTGGAAATGCTTTTGTTACAAGGATTGAACCCTTTTGAATGAGCAATCAAAGACCTATATAAACTTGCAAGGAACATTGATAGCACTATACTTTCTAAATTTTTCACGTGAGGGAGAACTGCAACATGAAATCTCTACAGAGACATACAGAATCATAATTATGGTAAAGAACACAAACCAACACCGATACCATGAAGTGAAGCTTCTCAAGTACAATTTACAACATAAAGACCATTGATGTTGTGTTGAGATAAAAATAGAGACAGAAAATTACGAGCATGATGAGCTATAGTCTATAAAAACTAGCAACCTAAACTCTCGAAACACGTACAAGATCAGGAGAAGCCACCATTCTCATTCAGAGTCTGGGGAACCTCCAGGCACCAACTGCAATCACATATAAATTTTCAGAGAAGCACAATGGAGATATAAAAATCTATTATGTTACAAGGGGCAGACAAAGATTCAGCATTTTAACTAGGCCAGCTTATAATTTGCCAAAAGGACATCATGAAAGAGGTTCAGATTCTAACCAAGTTGTGTGGGAACAGATTCAGAATTCGTAAGCATCGCAAGTACCGCAATTCAAAAATAATGAATGGTAATTTTTTGTTGGATTTCACGTGCTTACAATTGCAATGTTGTTCCCATTGAGAAGAATCTGGTCAAGCTTCGTAATACGTCGGCCTTCTGAAGTGATTTCACTTTGGATCGTAAAAGATATAAATATTAAGCTAGTCAGGTCAGTCAGCAATACATATATTGCAGAAGTCATGTCAAACAACCAGAATTAACAATTATATACGTTCATGTCAGGTCAATTACCGGTGCACAAGGTAATATAACATATACACATATCCAATCTACTAAAACCATCAAATAACAAACCTATTTGAGAAATTGGGGAACAGGACACTTTTCAGAGCTTGGACATTGTAGCAATTGCCAGTTTTCCAGCTAAAAACATCCAATCCACTAACCTACCCTCCTTCAAATAACCTTAAAAATTACATTCGTTCATAGTATCCAGAAACTAACTTTTCAGACTCCATTCTTGGCTTTGGGAAAACATAAAACGCCACACACACATTTGCACATTTTTGAATTATTGTATGTGTTAGCTATCACTACACTTTACACTTCTCCTACTTGTCCTTAATATACAACTCACTATTTCTTGATGTTCTCACACCCTTTAGCAATCCATTTATATCAATCGGAGTCCCAAACGAGTGAAAAAGTTAACCATTAAGAATAAGGATGAAAAATATTGCCAAAAACTAACACATAATAAACTGCAACAAACATTCTTCACTGTGTGCTAAAGCTACTAATTTAAGAATTTTTCCGACTCTGACTCACAATTCCACATAACATGTCTTCATTCCTCATTCCTCAATGCAATCTATCAAGCAGTTCATTCAATTCCTCAATGCAATCTATCAAGCAGTTCATTCAATTTACGTGCAATATACAACTTCAACTAGGCAAAAACAAATAATAAATAAATTAATAAACAGGCAAATGGGGAGCTAGACAAGAATTTAAATTGACAAAAGGAGCATCACATAAAATCAAAATAAAATAACAATGCACCAAAAGCATAGAAGAAGCTCATATTAAGCGCACACATACATAAACACAAGCAAACACGACACAACACAGGGATAGAGAAGCAATGTACGGACTATTCAGTGACGTCCTCGAGCACCATATTGACGTAAACATCGAAGCCCCTGAGAGTTCCCACAAGCTCCTTATCTCCTTTCATTATCACCCATATTTTCGACCCGATGCATCGATCGATCAGCTCTGCGGTTACAGAACACAGATTCCAAATCCAATTAAGTAAATCAGAAACAACCGAAAACGTGGATATGTATAGAAATACCGAGGGATACCTGATGGGAGGAGCTGCGATTGATTGGTAGCCATGGCGATCTCTCTTTGAGCAGATGCAAATTTTCTCTTGCGCGGTTTACTTTCAAAATTTCCCCCTTTTAGGCTTTTGCCAAAACCCTAGCCAAAATCGGATTTTGGTGGGCTTTATTGGGCTCAGACGCAAATGAAGACGGCCTAGATATGATATTTGAAGCCTTATTATCGGACGGAGTTAAAGACCATTTTAAAATGTTTATATTACAATTTTTGAAAGTTTTACAAAAATATTATATTTAAAATAAATATATATAAACTATTAACAGGGTTGCTGATATGTGGATTTGTATCATCGATTAATCGCAAGTTAAGTGTGAATTAAGAAAATAAGATTGTGAAACGAAAAGGAGATGTTACTGATAAAAATGTAAGATTTTGAATTCGAAAAGGTCAACCCTTGAGGATTTCGGGATTAGACTATGAGATTTTGCTATTCGAGTTATTCACCTACGGTTTTTTACAATGAATGTAAGGAAAGAATTTATAGAGTTGGAGAGTTTCCTCAACCTCCTCTTATAAATGAAACCTAGGGCTTTGTGCTTTGAATTGATAAATAATTAGGCTCGTGTGTTATGTCATATATCAATAAGACATTATTATTTTCATAATTTATTTTATTAAAATAATTATTATTTATTTCATTCCATATTTTTCTTCCATAACTACCATAATACTTTTTTTTTTATTATTTTTTTCTATTACATATCTTTACTTAAATCTATTCTCTTAAAAAGAATATTTGTTTAAAATGTAATCGGTATGTTTTCGCTCTAATAAAAATAAATAATTAGTTATATAAATAATAAAATTACACATAAAGTTAAAGAAAATATAGTTTGACATCTAAATTCTAAAATTATACAAGGGTATTTAACTATTATGATTACAAAAATATAATTGGACAATTTAATTAAAACATAAATTATAAAATATAGTTTGACATCTAACTTCTAAAATTATACAAGGGTATTTAACTATTATGATTACAAAAATATAATTGGACAATTTAATTAAAACATAAATTATAGATTTTAGTTTTAAAAAATTAAAATAAAAAATCAATATTTTTTAGATATGCTTCTTAATTCAACATTTATATAATACACGAGTATTGTATTTGTAAAAATAATCCCCCTATATATTAATTCAGAACATGTTTCGGGATCTTATGCGGGAAAATTACATGCTTCGTTATTAGGTTGGACATATTTTAATTTACTTTCTAAAAATAATTAGGTCTGGATTATTCATAAATATGTTGATTATTTATGGTCATGTTAATGTTTTAATTGCATTTTAATATCATTTTTTAATATAACCATTGAATTGTGAATATATTTTAAAATTTAATAACTGTTGTAATTTTTATCAGTTTTACATATATAATATATCAAATTAATCATCTCTTGATGAACTTCGATTTAACATCCATATTTTATGTATAAAAAAATAAATTATATTTATCTTTATAACAATACGAAAATTGCTTTTTAATATTAATTAGAAAAATAAAATTATTTATTAGTTAATATATTTATATTTCAAGTAGTTATATGATATAAGTTATAAAAATTATTATAATATAACACATGTAAGTCGCACAACTAACAAGTGTCATTCTAAAATATATAATAATATATATTTTTATAAAAAAGAAAATAAAATTTAAAATAATTTTTATCATTAATTTTAAAATTTAAGAATATTTTTTTAACAAGCATCATTGCAATATACAGGTGTTGTACTAGTAATGTTTATAGAAAAAGAGAAATAAATGCCGCCTATGGTATCGATATTATGGAAGGAGTTGTGGCGGGACTGACAAAAAAAGTTGTCTCTCATAAAAAAGCTAGAGGAGTGAATGTCTTTACAACATGGGAACATGCCAAATTTGGGAATTTGGACCACTATCTTCTTCTCCCTTCTTTATAGATGAATGAAGTTAACAAGTTGGCACATAGTTTTGGCGGTGGAGCGTAGGTCGAGTCGTACTAAGTCCAACATTAGTCTTATCAACTAGAATAACATTTGTAGTCTTTACTCAACTCAAATAAATAAATAAATAAATAATTAAAAATGGAAGACTGCGAGATTTACACAAATTTTGGTCGAATTTGGTTTGAAATTACATTAAAAAATTCTAATTAGGTATATTTAGTATATTTGAACTGACTCGTCAACTCAACTTCAAATTTAACGTACTCAAGCTCAAGTCGGGCGCTAACTCTGAGTACTCATAACATTCGCTAGCACCCCTATGCTTAGCTGAAATCATAGCCCTGATTAAATCATAGCAGTGTATCCCCATATCGATCTCCAAATTAGAGCATATATAATAATACTAGTGATATGGTCCGAGATGAATGACTTCGATTTTTTGAAAGGTCTCCTCATATTCGAACGTGGATCTACCGGTTCGGTGCGGTCCAAGTCCTTGAGTTCGCCGGTACCTGCAAAAGTGTCCGAATTGCTCCGGCGCGAGACCCTCCGACGCCCAAGTCAATATCTCGGAATAGAAGAATAATAATCTATAGTGAATGTAACAGTGATTATATTAAATGATGTCTTACCTTTCAACCGTAGAATTTACCCTTTACATAGTGATTAGTTGTGCAATCTTCCTCTCGGGATCAAATGTCCCTCAATGCCTGTTGACCGAGTAATAAGTTCCCAATAATTCGGGGGCCGAAGCTTGACCCTTTGGGCCGGTCAATTCCCGGTCGAGCCCCTTATTTGGTCGATGCTAGGGTTTGGGTTCGACCCTTTGGATCGGTCGATCCCCGGTCGAGCCCTACTGCTGGTTGGTACAGATTATTATTCTTTCCTTGAGGCCGGTCGACCCTGGGATCTTTATTCTACCCCGCTTTCCTCGAAATTTATCGCGGTAGCCCGAATCAGTACTAATATCCCTATGAAGCAGTAATAATTTCTTGACAACTCTATTTTTGAGTTTGAATTCCCAAGGTTGCTCTCATTGAATTGTTGTTGGGTCTGTCTAAAACTAGCATGTTTGTTGGGCCGACTGATTTTCCTTTAAAATTTAACCTCTACTGATATGAATGCTAGGCTTCGGTCTATAAGTAAATCGTAATGTACTATAGTTTAACTCCTTGAGATGAAAAATAAAGGAAGAGATTTCTCTTCTGAATACGTATTTTCTTAATTCCGAATCAACTGTCTAAACACAAAGTAGAAAGAGTCTTTAAATAAGACTCTAGAAATCCTAAGACTCCTAAAAAACTTAGATTCCTAACTTGTCAAACAAGACAAGAATTTTGAAAAATAATAATAAAAATAACCTACCAAATATATAAAGTAAATAAGGAAAATAATAAAAACAACAGTGGAAATAAATAATTAAGTTACCCCATCTCCATTATCCTCCCCCGATTGATAAGGATTTGCCCGCGATTCCAAGACGGCCATTGTTGCTTTCCCCGATCATGCACAAGCGAGAGAGCAAGTGCTATAGCATGATAGCTAGCAGATGTTTGTAAGTGGGCAACTCCTAGAAGTCTTTGGCAACACTTGAGAGACTCGTGCAGATACCTAAGGGCAACATTGACATTCCCCAAACTGTCTTCCATCAAAGCCACATTAATATAGGTAGCAGCAGTATGCGGATGAGAAAGCCCACAAATCAAATGGAAGAGATACAGTGTCCGGTTGACATACTTCAAAGCAAGCCAAGTATGTTGGAGTATGTAGTAGAAGACAACCAAATCCCCATAGCTTTGCATTGTGTCCGGATAATCAAGGCCAAGCTTGCTGTCATTGATATCTAAACTTTTTTTGCTCGAAGATTGTAGCTTGAATCAAATCTATCTCCCGTATGGTAGAGTACCACAACCAATAGACTATAAGCCCCCGCAGTCAGTGGATGATAAGGACAACAGATAGAATCCAGTTTCGAGAGTACCTTCAGCTTCATTGATCGATGATCCTATAGTCACATGGTACTCATCCTCCAGTTCCTCGTAAAAAATCGACGAGATATCGTAATAGGCATGCTCGCCGTCGGCACCGAGGTATTGTAATAGCGCAATGTACGAATGAAAACTAAAAGAAGACATTTCTCTTCTGAATACTTATATTCTTAATTTCAAATCAAGTATCTAAACACAATGCAGAACGAGTCTTTAAATAAGACTCTAAAAATCCTAAATCTCCTAACTTAGATTCCTACTTTATCCAACAAAAAAAGGATTTTAAATAATAATAATAAAAATAACAAACCAAATATATAAAGTAAATAAAGAAAATAATAAAATAAAAATAGAAATAAATAATTAAGCTATGTCGTCTTCATTACTATAGGTTCATTCTATATTTACTACTTCACTACACCCAATGTGTAGCTGCAAAACATTTAATTGTTATTATAATTGAGTTGTTTGCTAACATATTTTTACTTGTGAAAGCTTGAACTTGATGCTTTTGAATATTTAAATAAGTCTAGATGCAAAACATTTAATTGTTATTATAATTGAGTTGTTTGCTAACATATTTTTACTTGTGAAAGTTTGAACTTGATGCTTTTGAATATTTAAATAAGTCTAGATTGAACAAATGGAATCAAGTTTGTCTAACAAATAAGTTGAGTCGGGCGTGTTCAGGATCAACTCAGTAGTGTTTCAAGTTTTGGTCTATGTTTTAAGATTTATTAAATGTTGGAACCGAATTTATACAAGCCAAAAGCTCACAATTTTCCTTCTTTTTTTTTGGGTGTTACTATTCACCGCCCCCCCTTTTACTACTCACCGCCCTCCTTGAACAATTTTGCCCTTCTCATTTTTTCTAAACATATCAGACAATTTATGAAAAAATACGTGTCCGGCCGCCGGTTCCGGACAGCTTAAAGCCCGTCCGGAACCGGCGTCCGGACGGCTTAAAGACCGTCCGGAACCGGCGTCCGGACGGTTCAAAGACCGTCCGGAAAGCATGGCCGGTCGGACCGGCCGTGTCCGGACAGGCCGGCCGGACGGACCGCGGCCGTCCGGAACCGCCGGCCGGACGGACCGCGGCCGTCCGGAACCGCCGGCCGGACGGTTCAACAGGTTTTCAAAAAATTTTTTAAAAATAGTTCGGCTCAAAAAAAAAAAAAAAA